ATAAAAGATAAAATGCTTTTTCTATATATTATTAACAAATTATTTATTGTCAATGAATTTGATTTAATATAAAACAAAAACAGAGGAATAATAATAAAAAGATGTGTTTCTATAGTAACCGTGAATTGAATTGATTTCTGGAAAACAAAACTTTTTTGTCTAATGGTTTGTCGTTTGGGAGGCATTCATAGGGCATAAGAGAATAATTATGTCAAACAAACTAAACCGAATCGATTACACGCAAGTGGGTCTCACCTCCAAGAACTCGTTCAAACTCATCAAACAGGGTGTTGTGGGCGCAGACAATGGCGCCATCGCTGCCGTCGTCGGCGATCACTCCGGTTCTGTTCACTGCTTTACACTTAGACCCGACTCGTCAAACATCGACACCGTATTCAAGACACTGCCCGGTATTTATAGTCTCCCATTGAGTTGACTTTGGGTATTTACAAACAATTTATCAATTTTAAGGCCCGAACGCAAAGATCAGTTGCATTGAAGTGATCAACAGTTCCAATAGCGGCGGTTCGCCAAAGATTCTGGTGGCGTTTGGGTCGTCAGTAATCAGGGGTTATAATAAAAAAGGGAAACAGTTTTTCGGTTTAGAGTTGAATAACTTAACGGAACCGATAAAGTGTCTGAAGATGCGGTGGCCCAACGAGATCTTCATTAGCGGACATTATATTTACAACAATTATGTCATCACAGAGTCGGACAGTAAGAGTAGTTCCGGAGTCCAAAGTAAGAACTATTATGTCTGTCCAGAAAAGATCAATGAATTGGTTCTCATTGATGACAAGATTAACAGAAAAACAGGTAATTTCCAGTCTTTCCAGAGTTTTAATTGTGATAAATGAGTGATCCGTGCGATTAGTGCCAGTCCTCGCCTGTCAGGACAGACTCCTCCGCATTATTAAAGACTCTTCGTGTCAGTACGAGATTGAGATCTCAGGCATTCCCAATGCATTGCTTTGGATGCACTACTCGGCCAATGGTATCACTGAGACACTTGTTTGCTACGGCACACTTGATGGCAAAGTAGCTCTCGTCTCCATTGATTTCAGCAAAAAACCATTGGAACCGTTGCACAAGTGGGAGATACCAGATAAAGGATCTAAACCATCGGTCACCTGCCTATCAATTGCTGATTCGGCCGCAGAGCTATATGTCGGCAGATCTGATGGAAATGTTGAGGTTTTTTGGAAATATGTTGCTTTTGATGCAATGCTAAACAAATATTGCACCGATTTGAACACAGATTTGGTCCTTCGCTGAGACCCTCAATGAAAATGGAGAGGAAATGATTGACTTAAGTCTGGCGCCAATTCTTCGCGACCAACATAATTGCGGCGAGAGTTTGACCTCATTGTTAGTCTGCAATTACGGGAATCTAATTCTTGGTTCGACTTTCACTGGAGTTATATTTGGATTAACGAGAAATGAAATGATTAATCAAAAACTGAATCCAAATTATCTGCTAATCAGTAAAGACACGGCAATGAAGATCGAAGGGCTTAGAGATGAATGCGAACGATTGGAGCAGAAGTTGGCTCAAGAGAGGGAACGCTATCAGGAAATGACCACAAAAGGCGGATCCGATGATTTGGAGACTTCTGATGTGGGCGTCTCAGCGCTGCCTTACTTTGCAATAAACGACTCGTTTATTCTTCAAGAAGGTATGCATTATTCATGTGTTTCCACTTTTGTATTCATTATTTGAACATTACTTCAGACGCCTCTTATTACCTGACACTGGAGGTCGAGATAGCAATCGACGCGGTTATCATTCAGAGTGACATTCCCTTAGACCTGATAGACTGCGAACGCAATTCCGCTGTCATTAGTTTTAATGATAACACTTCGCCGCAAGTGTTGGTTACTTTCCGATGTCAGGCAAACACCACACGATTGGAGATCAAAATTCGCTCCATTGAAGGTATAATTAACATTGTATTCAATTGATGTAAGTATTGCTCTATAATAAGAGTCTACCCCCAAAAGGACAGTACGGCTTATTGCGGGCATATGTGATGACTCGAGTGTCGCCCAAATGCGCTCAAATGAAGACCTATAAAATAAAACCGCTTTCATTACATAAACGCAGTTACAGTGCAATCGATACCCAATTCTTGAATAAACTGACAATTAGTGGTAACTTTAGTCTCAATGAATCCCACACTTGGATCCAACTCTGTATTCCCGAAATACCGGAAAAGATAGCGTCGAATTCCAACTCTCCGGTCATTGCATATAACTTTATCTCGACGTTTACCGAAACGATCCTTATATGCAATTGTGGTAAAGGAGTGATGACTTTCCAATCGGATAATATCTCTACCATTTCTATTATCAAAGACTTTATCACTCGAGAGGCGACAAAGAGATCGACGGCTATTGAGATGTCGTTCGACGTGAATGAGAATAGTGTCGGCCATACACTCAAAAAGCTTTACCCAAAACTCAAGAATTTAATTAATATTCGACAGAATAAGGAATTGCTGGAAGCGGTCTATGAGTTGAGTGTAAGCGACCCCCAAATCGCCAAAGAATTGATGACTAAATTGATGTCAAGCGAAGAGATAGAGACAAAGACGGCTGAAATCAATTTGGAAAGAATTTATGGCATAATCGCCGACTTATTCATCGATTACCACAAACTCAAAGGCGGTTCTCGTTCTGTACTCTCGAGTTTCAAGTCTCGGATCAATGAATTGGTGACTCTTATAGAGACATATGTTTCTGACGATTACGATCAGCACATATTCGTCGACAAACTCAACCAGTTTTGGGGAATTCAGATATTCGTCTGAATTATCATTTATTGTTTCCATTTTTATTAAACACTTATTTACTTACAAAATCTTCAAAATAATATAACATAGAAATAGTAATAAATATAATATTTGATTCAATTGACTGTAAATTAATCGATTATTTATCTTTACAAATATATCATAATCTCTTTACTAATATTCTTATTATAACAAAGTTTTGAGAGAAATAAAAGTTATTAAAAAAATATATAAAGACAGATAAGAATTGCACATAAATTACAAACTAAGTTAACTGTAGAATAAATGATAGTAAAGATTAGATTTGAAATACCGGTAACGGAAAGTAGTTTGACTATAGACTGGATGTGAGAATCAGTGTCTGAACGCTCCGTTAAGTGCAGCTTTCGTTATGAAACTCTTGAGAGTTGTCTCATCCAATCGGTTGAAGGCATCCGTTTGGACGACTGCCGTCAAGTGAATCA